GCTGTATGCGTTCTGCGCATGCGTGGAAGCGCAGAATTCGTAAAAACCGGGTAAGGAGCGGGCGCGGGTTTGCGGGTGCGCGCGGGCGCGGGGGGGGGGGGGCTTCGCCGTTCCCGGAAGTTACTTACTTCCGGGTTCGGCGACCAACCAGATCGCAGGGACCGGTGCGAACCGGTTGAAACCCACCCCTGATGCAAATGTATATTTTATTATGTACCCTATGTAAGAGATATCATTTTATAGCTGCATCCTGTTTCAGCAGACAGCAGCAATAGCTGGTCTCAAAAAAGCTAAGCAGGGTCAGGCTGGGTTAATGCTTGGATGGGATGCCTCTGAAAAATCCCAGTGCTATAGTTAGACAAACCACCCTGGGAGTAGGCCATGGCAAAAAAAGTTCTATCTTCTTGCCAAGAATATGTCCATGCGTATGTCCATCAGATCATCAGAAATCACACTTGGCCTGTAAAACTTTTTTCTAATTTAGCTAATAATTAAATGCGGATGATATACAGATTACAACTAAATAATTATACTTGTAAATGAGTTTGAGTTTAATAAAATTTGTATGCCGCCCACTCCCTTGGGACTCTGGGCGGCTCACAGCAAGACAAAACAGACATTTAAAATTTAAAATAAAAAAATACAAATATTAAAATTCCACATCATCCATTCCATCTAAGCGGGACTGGATATCAATCAACAGCTGCCGGAACAGCCAGGTCTTGACGGCTTTACGGAAGGCCGGGAGAATGAGCAATAAATAACCAAAGAAAAATATTATTAATGTACAAAAATGTACCAATGTCAGTCGTTTGTGCCTGTTTAAATTCCAGCATCTTCCTCAAGTAAAAAAATATAAAATAATACACTAGGTTGTTATGTTTCTTTGCATCACAGAGAGGGTTAATGCAGCCATTCCTATAACAGAGTTGAAAGGGACCCTGGAGGACTTCTAGTCCAACCCCCTGCTCAAGCAGGAGTTACTACACCATTCTGGACAAATGGTTATCCAATCTCTTCTTAAAAACATCTAGTGAGGAAGCACCCACAACTTCTGAAGACAAGCTGTTCTACTGGTTAATTGTTCTTACTGTCAGGAAATTTCTCCTTAGTTTTAGGCTGTTTCTCTCCTTGATTAGTTTCCATGTCATGCTGCTTCTTCCTTCTGGTCCTTTGGTAAATAGGTTCTCTTTTTTGTAGCAGCCCCTTAAATATTGGAACACTGCTTTCATGTCACCCTTGCTCCTTCTTTTCATTACACTAGACTTATCCAATTCCTGAAACCGTTCTTCATATGTTTCAGCCTCCAGTCCCCTAATCATCTTTCTTACTCTTCTCTGCACTCTTTCTAGAGTCTCAACATATTTTTTACATCATGGCAACAAAACCTTCCAAGTGTGGCCTTACCAAGGCATTATAAAGTGGCATTAACATCTCTGTTGCTTTTCTCTGCACTCTTTCTAGATTCATGAACCCTTAGGATATCTACTTTGCTAAAGAAGTAGCAAATTTCTTCTTTCTAACACAGAGAACAGACTGCTAAGATAGTGTTTCTATAATCCTTATATGATTTTAAAGGAAGTGAAAACATATTGGAGAGACACTGCGGTGTTCAATTTTATCGTAGAAGCAAGAAGGATTTGTATGGGAAAATTGCCTCGATGCTCAAAAACAGTTTACTTGATGTGATCTGAGGCTGAAATCCTTCGCACCCCACTATCTTACTCTACTGCTAAGGATATATCAGGTTTTAGACTGGCTGAGTTTAGAGGTGGGTGCATTCTGCAATTTGATAATGTTTACACAGTGGTCAAGCAAATAATCATTGAGTTTCATCTGTAAGATTTTCAAATTCAACTCAATTATATAGTACAAGTGTAGCTTACAGATGGGCAATAAGGTTTAAGATTAACTCATTTAGTAACCTGCTCACAGGGCATTCAAGGCAATATTGCAAGTAAGGCTGATCATAGGGAAAACTTACTTTTACAGTGGGTAACGTTGGTGGAACCATCAAAATCTGTGCTTGTATTTCCAGGGCAAGTGATGCAATAATTCTGGCCAAATTCAGGTTGGTAAGTTCCTACAGGACACCTGATACATCTGTGGGTTGTAGAGTTGTAGTAATGGCCGGGAGAGCAATGAACTGTTTAGAAGAGAGGCAGGTTGTTTTATAATGTATGCAAAGTCAAAGGAACAGAAAGAGAGAAAAAAAGAAACACATCAAGCTGGCACTAGGCAAAAAGTCTTATCCAAGATGCATTTGCAATTTTTTAAGGTAAATAAAATACCTATTCTATTCAGGGGTGGGATTGAAAAATTTTAGCAGCCATTTGTCTGCCCCGTTGTTGGGTGGGCGTGGCCGTGGTGGGTGTGGTCTATTCAGCCTCCTGCACCACGGCAGTGGGGGAGGGGAAAATTCACCCTCCCCAGACTCCGGAGGCTTTTCTCGAGCCTCCGGCAGGGTGAAAACAGCCTCCTCCGGGCTTCGGAGGCTGGAAATGGGCGTGGCACGACAAAACCGCGCTCGTCAAAATAGCGGTGATAAAACCGTGTCGCTAAAGCCGCGACGTCATCACCGCCACGACAACAGCGCGGCGACAGAAGGGCGCTTTAAAACAGCGTAGCGGTAGAAAGCCGATTTAAATTAAGGGTTAGGATTAGGTTTAGGGGTTTGCTTTAGGGTTAGGTTTAGGGTTAGGTTTAGGGTTAGGGTTAGGGTTAGGGTTAGGGTTAGGGTTAGGGTT